GATCTCCCCAAAACCCCAAAACCCCAAAACCCCATGCCTATCATTATAATCAGGATGGATGGAATTGAAAATAAAATTTAATTTATCTGTTATCATATTATTAGGCGCAGTTATGTGATTTAACAAGGTTCAATAGTTAGTTGTATTTACTGATTAGTAAAATTTAACACTTAATATATTACTACACAAACAAACAAGTTAAAGTAAACTCATCTATACAAGGGGTTGGAGTTTATAAATTTTCATATGAAAGCTACGTGGTTAAAACCGGATTTTTTCGAAGTTCAGCGAATGTCCATGCTGCTTGGGAAGATTTGACTCATGCTACTGCCTCCAAAGCTTCCACAATCTAGAGAGGATTTACCCTTATTAGAGGATGGGAAGGCGCTCCAGAAACGAAGAGTCTCATCTCCTGCTCCTGTTACTATATTTTAGCCATCAGGACTCATTGATAGATATAGCACTCTGTAAGTATGCCCAGTGAGTGTTGCAACTTTTTGCATAGAAGGATATTTCCACATGATAATTTAGTTCAATGAGTAACCGTGGGTGCTCACGATTTCGTTCACATTCTTAGAGAACATCAAGTTGCATACTTATGAGCCTGTATCGATGTAGTTGATAGGTTAGAGTGTATGGGTGTTCCAGAATCTTATGCATCTATCTGCTGTTCCACCACCTGAGGCTAAAAGACCATTTTGATGGGGGCTCCATCCAATAGCCTTTACAGCAGCTGTGTGATCTGAGAACTTTACAAGTGGTGATTCACCTCCTTAGAGTGACCATACCATCAGCTTATTGTCATTTCCGCCTGAAGCAAGTTACATATCATCAAATGACCACTTCAAACCGCAAACTTCTTACTTGTGGCCAACTAGCTTGGAAACAACTTGGTTGTGAGCTCTTAAGTCTCTTTATAATATATTACGATCACGAGAGCCTGTACTCACAATTGAATTATTCCAAGCAACACACCCAACTCTACTTAAATGGCCTGTTAGGGTTCTTACTAATTTGCAATGGGTGGTATCCCAAATTTAAGTGTCGCCTGAGTTAGTTCCAACTGCTAGGTGAGTTCCTCTTTGTGACCATCCAACTGATGTGATGGAGTCATCATGAGGCACCTCACAGAGCTTTGTAACTCTACTTGTGCAAGCGCTCCAAATATAAACTGCTCTTCCAAGCCCAACTGCGAGAATATTGGTTGATGACCAGTCAACAAGGTTGAGATAAAAATCATCCTAAAGTTGAGGAGCATCTAGTACCTTGAAGGGCATTTTAGGTATTTTACGAGTATTCTTCACACTTGGAGAAGTTTATTCAGTGGTATCGATGTTTAGAAGAGGACTGACTTGATAAGGCGCGCTGTTCTCACTTTGATATTTATCTTTGTTAGTGTACTTAAAGATGCTTTTCTTAGACTTGGCCATCATGTTGCTAATGGTATGGTTTAACGAGGTAGCTCCAATCATGCCAGAACCGATTACTGGATTTCCAGCTTGGCTTGAATAAATACCTATTGGTAAATTCGAAGAGATTCCTAAATCATTGACTCCATATCCACTTCCGAAATGACTTAAATTTTAATATCCTCCCTCATTACTATAAAAAGAATCTCCAAGGCACTAAGTTTGCAACAGATTAGAGTAAATGTTCATATTTTGGTCGCCAGCGTTAGTAGCACCATTCATCATCATAGAACTACCTATTTGCTGAGATTATTGACTTTAAGAGGAAAGAGGTTATCCATCTGGCCCGAATCCATTATTTCCTGCCAAATTTCCGGCACTAGCACTCCCATTCATACTCATATTTGCCTGATTATCGCCGTTGGCGTCTGTGTTCTAACTATTAAGGTATTGAGCTTGTCTAGTGAGCAATAACTGCTCTTCGTGCTGAAATTGCAACTCATATTAGTTGTTGCTAGGTCTGCATGGTATAAATCTGTCACCTTGGAAAGATGGCTTTAATTGTGCATTTTTGCTTGATGTCGATTTTGTGTTCTTCACCTGTATATTCATCTTCTCTTTGTTCTCATTCTGAACATCCTCTCTCTAACTAAGCTAGCTAAAGTTTTGATAGTGCTTTCCACTTGCAATAGTCTTCTTTTCAGTATTGTATGTGAGTGGATGAATGTTACTTCTATCATTTGTGGTGTTCTTGAATGGAGTCATAGGTTTCTGATCAGTGAAGCACACTCTATGCCCTGCATTCATTGAAGATCCCTTCATTGTCAGAGGCGAGCGAAGGAAGGAGTCATTAGAGTCTATAGCTCCAAGGTTGTGATGATTCACGCTGGCTTTGATATTGCTGGAGGTGAATACATTTTGATCTGAGATATTGTCGAGAAACATTGTCAAACAAGTTGTCTAGTGAAATAGACTGAATTAAAATTTTATATTAAGTTAACTTTTATATTTGATATACGTTAACTTTTATTTTGTTTTAATTGATTTCGGAATTCAATAATTATTCAACCGTAAGGGGTTTTGGGGTTTTGGGGTTTTGGGG